GCAGCCTGCTTCCCACCAGCTGCTCTCACAGCGTCCGACCGCCCACGCTGTTAGGAATGTCAGTGCCTGATTCCTCCTCCTTCATCAGCACCGTGGAGTACCCCTTCCCGGCCTCCCCCTTGTCGTGGCTTTAATTACTATTTCTCCTGCTCCATAATACAATTAATCTTTCCTTCTAGCTGAGATTTATCACCACAGAGGCCCAGGGGACTTCTGAGCAATTCACCTGCAACCTCCGTCTCTGATTACTCACAGGGAAACAGGAAGTGGGTCTGTGTACCAAGTCCACAAACTATATGTATAGGTGTAGGCATAGATATACACGGGCAAATACTTGCTTTAGGGTGGCTTCTCTTGTCACTGTTTACGCAGCTGTAGCCTTAGGGGCCATGGCAGGAAGGGACCACAGAGCAAGTGATCTATTTTCTTAAGCTGATGTACAAAGACAGGTGTGTCCAACTGAGTATGCTTGTGAGAAGGCAGTGGGGACGTGCAAGTGTCCCATACCTGACTGTGGCAGGCCCCTCTCAGGGGAACAGAAGGGAAGGGCAGCTGAAGAAAAGCTAACATGGGGCCACTTCCCTGGTCCCGTGGAGGAAGTGGAAGGGACCTGTCAGGAAAATCAGACAGGTGCATTAGCCTGCATCTTGTCAGGACAGAGGAGTACTAAGCACAGCATCCACCAGGGATGGTGTCTGCTGCTTCCCACGCACTTGAAGACCTGGGATTTCCTCAGCACCAGTGTGGCTGCTGCCAGCACATGGTCTCAGCTGTGCGCAGATGTTGGCGGAGGAGAAACAGGCACAGAGTTGTGACCCCCTTGCACAAAGAGGCATTCCGAGTGAATCGGGAAAGCAGGAAATGAGTCAGTCAGGCTGCCAGGTTTGGTTGATTCCAGCAGAACCTGCCTCTCGAGGTCCGTGGGCCTAAGTTCTGGAACTTCCCATGTCTCCGAGACCACAGACTGACTTTGAGCTTTCCGTCATCATGATACCATACCCGAGAAAGTAACTTAAAAGTACAGGTTCTGGCTCCTAGCTGCAGAAATCCTGACAATCCACAGCCAGATGCCTCCATCACTGGGGGCTTGTAGCGAGGACAGAATGCCACAGCAGCAGGCGTGCTCAGCTCTTGGTGGGCTCACAGCACAGAGACAGGAGGGATCCAGGACAAGACATCTGCTTCAGAAGCCCATCCCCAGGGTCCTCCTTCAGCTACGAACTCGGTGGCGTATTAACCCTCTGATGAGGCTAGCACGCCAGGATCCAATCTCACTCAGCAGCAGCAGCAGCTGGCACCCAAGCCCCGGGCATACAGGCCTCAGGTGGCTTTTCAGCATTGATGAGCCAGGCGGAGGCAGCTTCTGGAAAAGCCTCTGTAAGACACTTGCAGCTGATAAAGTCATATGACGAGTGATTTTGGAGTCCCCCCCACCCCCATTTGAAAATATACTTTGCTGTCCAACCTTGGTGAAAATAATGGCGAGTTACCTACAAAGACATGACCAGTTCTAGCACCTGCTGTCACACCTTTGAGTTGAGCCATCTGTTTACTGACTAGGCTTGTCCCCACCCGAAGCTCTGAGATATTTTCAAAACCACGTTAGAGGTGTATGTGGAAACTTGAGCCAGAGATCCAGGAATCTCAAGTTGATGGGGAAGGGTCTCTGGACCACATGTGCTGTGTAGAGGCACCAGAAAGAGCAAATGCAGTACCACGTCCCGGCCAACCCCAGACAAGGTGTGCCCCAGCCTGTAAGTGTAAAGGTCATGACCATGAGCTAACGTAGGACACAGTGCAATCTGCGTGCAATCTGCGTGCAGTGTCCTCAGGTAGGAACGAGACCTGGTAACTGGAGAGTCTAGTGACCAGTTGATCGCTTCCTCTACTGAGGTCTCCCAGGTGGAAAAATGTCCTTAGACCTACATCAGGCCTAGGTTACTCAGAAGAGTCTCCTGATCCAAAAGGGGGCTACACAGCACACGCACACAGTGCCAGCCTGCCTGCATCGCTTTATTATTTAACTGTTTGGAGAATAGCGTGAAGACTCTGCGTGCCCATGTCGATGGCCTGGTTTTCCTCATCTGGTTCCCTCTATTTGCATAAACACTCCAAGTCCCCCCAACTCCTAGGATATGTCAACAGCTGGGACACTGAGCTGTTTCACCTGTGAACAGTCCCACAGAGGAGAACCTTACTGAGCCTGGCTGCCGTGCCAAACCACACTCTGTCCGGAGGCAAGTGGGCTAGTACAGCCAAGGGGATAGCTCCCCTCTCCTCCCTGAGACTCTATCTTTCACAGGGTGAGCCTGGGATAGGAGCGTGTCTTTCCTGTTCCCCAGACCCCGTGTTTCCTACGAGGACCTGCTTGAAAGCAGAGGAGAGAGCATGTCGGCTCTAAAACCCCAGCCGGCTCTGGTAGCAATCAATAAGAAGTACGATCGGATGGGTCACTGCGCTGCCTGTGTAAGAACTGAGGCCCTGCTCCCAGAGAGCTCAAATGAGACCCGCCAGAGTTCCCAGCTCAGCTGAAATGGGTGCCGGGTGCCATCTTAGTGGAAATACTCTGTCTGGTCTGTCCCAGTCCCACCGAGTTGGCCGCATGGAGTGCACTGAGCATGACGTCGTGACCCTCGCCACAGCCTTTGAAGTAGACCTTAGTATTCCCACAAAGATAGCCCACATAGGTGGAGACCCGAGGTGGCCACGTATACATCCTAACCACGTGTCCTGTCCCACAGCCCTGCTGAGGACCCAGGACTGAGGCCTGCCTGCCCTACTAATCTTCATTTAATTCCCTCCCCACGACCTACTGTCATGGAGGGCACCCCTGCTGACAGCCCCTCTGTAAGTCCCCATCTGAGTGGCATCCTGGAAAGGGCAGGAGGAGCCGAACATTAGCCCCTCAGCGTGAGCACAGCCATTCTGCACTGCTCTCCGGCTGCTTTTATGTCTCTTCAACAAAGAGAACAGCTGCCAAGAGACCACACTGTCCCCACAGAACGCCCCAGGCTGGCAGCAGCCTGACCTGCCAAGGGAGACAGGCAGAGGGAGAGGCCTGCCCAGCGAGGCCAGCCTCCCTGCCCTTCTCAGTGTGTGGAAGCTGTAATTTTGAAAGCCCTCCTCTGGTCCTTTGTGGGGCCGGCGGAAGCTAAGGAAGCAGCAGCAGCTGTCTGGAGACCAGATCAGTTTGCTATAACCAGCAGGCAGCTCCCCTCACAAATCATTGTAACCCTGGGCAGCCATTTCTATCCAGACTGCTACCTACTCATGACCGAGACCCTTAGTCCAGAGTAAGAGAAAGAGACTCCCCTGCTGCTGCCTTGTGCGTTAGCCACGCCATCTTGGGCCTTATTCGCAAAACAAGATACACATGTTGCTTATTGTGTTTCTTCCTTCCTTTCTTTGTATGTTTTTGAGATAGTCCTATGTTGCCCAAGCTGGCCTCGAACTCACAACCCTCCTGCCTATACCTTTTGAGTACTGGGATTATAGATAGGCATGTCCCACTACGGCCAGCACTCCATGTCTCTGGGATGATCATAATCTGACTTTCTTGTTTTTAAAAGTGGGGTTGGCAAAGACTTTTGATTTTAAAACAAAAACAAGAAAGTAAGACCTTCGACTCATTACAGGTCTGTCTGTCTGTCTATCTCCAGGACACTCAACCTGAGTAGGGTGAAGGTATGCCTGTAAAACAGGACTCTTGACTTTGTCTAAAGCCGGATGTTTTCTTGACACTGGGGTTCTTGGAAAATGGGGTTCAGCTGTCCCCAGAGGAGGCCAGCGGTAACAACAAAGCCTTGTATTTGATGGGGAGGGAGAACTACATGATGCATGCTGCGCTTGGCAGCCTTCTCTGAGAAGGCCTTTTGGTCTTTCTCCCTCTTATATCCCAACCAGCAAGGGATCACATAGGCGCCAAAAACATTGCGGTAGACTCAAGAGGCTGTTCAGGGATCACCGAGTGCAGAGGTGTCATTAGGAGGCAGGGCGGGAGCAGGGCCAGGCAGGGCTTGCACTCACAGCGATCCTGGGTTGGGCACATCCTCTGGCCCATTTTAGAAAGGAGAAAGTAGTGTATGATTCATTTTGTACAAGGATGGTTGAACCCATGATGCCTGAAGGCAGTAGGAGGACTGGCTAAAAGTGGGTCTTTAACTGCAATGCCTCCATGTTCTCACCATTAAAGGACCCGGGGGGCTGGTGGGGTCAAGGCTCTGATCCCTAGGGCATGCCCACCCAGCCACTTCGTCTATCCAGCACAGGACTGCACGTCAGAGCAAATCCCATCCAACTGCAGTCAGGATGCTCTACAGTCATTGCTACCATGTATATGCGACAGCTGGCATGTTCACCAGTTTCGGGGCAACCTCATCAGTATAGGGGGCACTCAAAGTTTTTATTTGCTAATTTAGTGTGGGTAAAACGGCTGGTTCTTCAGGGTTGGTTTATTTTGCATTGCATTGGTTGTAAAGGGAAATTAGTGCCCACCCCCCGTTCCCCTCCGTGTGTCTCTTCAGCTGAATTGTCTGCTGACATTTATTATTCTTTGCCTATTCGAGTAAATTGGGATCTTGATTTTTTTTCTTTCTAAGCCAACAGTGAATTTTTACAACAATTTTTTACAGCAGCTGCTACAATTTTTCGTATGTTTCACATATTTTCTAGTGTGTTATGCTTGCCCTTTAATTTTGTGTGCTTATTTGTAAAACATTCTCATTTTTGTCATCAAATCTGTTGGGTTTCCCTGGTGGTTTGAAATGTGGAAAGCCATCCTTCCTCTGCCACCCTGACAGGGCTTGACCCCACCCATCCATGGACGCCCCCCCGCCCCCCCCCCCCCCGTCTACCTTCAGACCCTCCCTCTGCATCCCTGACCGGGCTTGACCCCGCCCACCTTCAGTCTAGAGTCTTTGACTCTGAACTGCACAAACCTTAGATTGAGCTATAAATTGCACTTTCTCTAACCTGTTCTGTTCTCTTCTCGGTCGTCCCAGGGATCATCCACCAGATGAAAGGCGATTACGACACAGCCCTGAAGCTCCACAAGACCCATCTGTGCATCGCCCAAGAGCTGAGCGACTATGCAGCCCAAGGCCGCGCCTACGGAAATATGGGCAATGCCTACAACGCCCTGGGCATGTACGACCAGGCTGTCAAGTACCACCGTCAAGAGCTGCAGATCTCCATGGAAGTGAACGACCGTGCCTCTCAGGCATCGACTCATGGGAACCTGGCCGTCGCCTACCAGGCCCTGGGAGCCCATGACCGGGCGCTGCAGCACTACCAGAACCACCTGAACATCGCACGGGAGCTGAGAGACATCCAGAGCGAGGCCCGGGCTCTCAGCAACCTGGGGAACTTCCACTGCTCCAGAGGAGAGTATGTCCAGGCTGCACCCTACTACGAGCAGTACCTCCGCCTCGCTCCTGACCTCCAGGACATGGAAGGAGAAGGAAAGGTCTGCCACAACCTCGGCTATGCTCACTACTGCCTCGGAAACTACCAGGAGGCCGTGAAGTACTATGAGCAGGATCTGGCTCTGGCCAAAGACCTTCATGACAAACTGAGCCAAGCAAAAGCCTATTGCAACTTGGGTCTGGCCTTCAAGGCTCTCCTGAACTTCGCCAAAGCCGAGGAGTGTCAGAAGTACCTTCTGTCCCTAGCCCAGTCCCTGGATAATTCCCAGGCAAAGTTCCGAGCCCTAGGGAACCTGGGTGATATATTTATCTGCAAGAAGGATGTGAACGGTGCGATCAAGTTCTATGAGCAACAGCTGGGCCTATCTCACCACGTGAAAGACCGAAGGCTGGAGGCCAGTGCCTACGCGGCCCTGGGCACCGCGTACCGCATGGTCCAGAAGTACGACAAGGCCCTGGGTTATCACACACAGGAGCTGGAGGTTTATCAGGAACTGAGTGACCTGCCAGGGGAGTGCCGGGCTCACGGGCACCTGGCGGCTGTCTACATGGCCCTCGGGAAATACACAATGGCGTTCAAGTGCTACCAGGAGCAGCTGGAGCTGGGGCGGAAGCTGAAGGAGCCGAGCCTGGAAGCCCAGGTGTACGGCAACATGGGCATCACGAAGATGAACATGACCGTGATGGAGGACGCCATTGGCTACTTCGAGCAGCAGCTGGCCATGCTACAGCAGCTCAGCGGGAACGAGTCCGTGCTGGACAGGGGTCGGGCCTACGGCAACCTGGGGGACTGCTACGAGGCCCTGGGGGACTACGAGGAAGCCATCAAGTACTACGAGCAGTACCTGTCTGTCGCCCAGAGTCTGAACCGCATGCAAGACCAAGCCAAGGCCTACCGGGGTCTAGGAAACGGACACAGGTAACGTGGACAGGGAACGGGGCTGGACATACTTGCAGGGCGGGGCTGCGGCAGGAAGGGCAGCTACGAGCTAAGAGCAGTCTGCTCCCGTGCCCCTCGCTGAGCTTCTCGACAGTTCATTGACTCAAGTGGGTGACAGTGTTGCTGTCATGTACGAAAGACACCGCAGCCCAGAGAGGGCAGGTTCGTGCCCGAGTTACACCCGGGAGTCGATCCAGGGCTCACACCTCACATGTAGTACACAGTGACCAGGATGATAGGATTCACAGGAAGCTGGGTGGATCTGCTCAGCCGACCTCTGTGAGCATTTGGTGGCCACCAGTTACTCAGCCCCATCCGGTGACGGAGGCACAAGTCCTGTGCACCAGACCCCGCCCACACTGGGCACCTGCAGAGCTGTCTAAACAGTACAGCAATGTCGTACGTGCTAACATGTCCGTCTGCCATGGAACAGGGGAAACCGAGGCTCAGGCAATGAGATCCATGTGCCCAGACAGCTGGCTCCATGTGCCACCAAAAGCCATCTTCCTCCTGCTCTGTCTGTCTCTGAGCAGCACACACAAAAGGCTGTTCTCCCCCACAAGGGGGAGACTCAAGACAGGGCCTTCCTCAGGGGCAGGGGAATCAGGGCTCCAGGAGGGGAGGAAGGGGTCAGAGTAATCGTCACCCACAGACTGCTCCAAGAAACTCAGGGTGAGCGATTTATAGCTCCTGTAAAGTGATTTCAGAAGCACCGTCTAAGCAGTAGTGGAGGCTGGGAGGCCCGAGTCCCGGACCCTGCTATCATCGTGTCTATTAATATATTTTATGTTTCCTCGGGGGTACGCGTCCCACTGAATTGCAGGCTCCTGGGAAGGTCACTAAGGGATGACTTCTGAATTGCTTTCCAGATTATGAAACTCCTCTGCATCTCACTCTAAGGGCACATGATAGATTTTTAGCTAGGGAAGGAGTTAAGAGCCTCTATAGTAAGTGACAGTGACGAATGCTTTTCATTTTCTCAGGGGCTTTAGCATGTCCGCACCTGCACGGGGTGATCTCATTGCTTCTCTGTCTGCATCCCCACAGGGCAACGGGGAGCTTGCAGCAGGCCCTTGTGTGCTTCGAGAAGAGGCTCGTGGTGGCCCATGAGCTTGGCGAGGCCTCCAATAAAGCTCAGGCCTACGGAGAGCTGGGAAGCCTCCACAGCCAACTAGGGAATTACGAACAGGCCATCTCCTGCCTCGAACGGCAGCTGAACATTGCCAGGGACATGAAGGACCGAGCCTTGGAAAGTGACGCAGCCTGCGGCCTGGGGGGCGTCTACCAGCAGATGGGAGAGTACGACACAGCCCTGCAGTACCACCAGCTCGATCTGCAGATTGCAGAGGAGACGGACAATCCCACGTGCCAGGGCCGAGCCTACGGGAACCTGGGTCTCACCTACGAGTCCCTGGGCACTTTCGAGAGGGCTGTGGTCTATCAGGAGCAGCACCTGAGCATCGCGGCACAGATGAACGACTTGGTGGCCAAGACCGTGTCCTACAGCAGCCTGGGAAGGACTCACCATGCCCTGCAGAACTATTCGCAGGCAGTCATGTACTTACAGGAAGGTAGGCAAAAGGCGCCACCAGGGGAGACTCAGCCAGCGCCGTGGAGTGAGGGTCTCACAGGCCCTGCCATCCCCACCAGGTGTCCCTCCGTACTTTTAAGGCGTTTCCCTTTCCTGCCCCAGCTCTCTGAACCCCTATTGCCTCCCCATCTCTCGGTTCTGGTACCCGCCCCTAGCCCACTGCCCAAATAGCTGATGCCCCCTTGGTCGTCAGAGCAGCGACTGGACACATGACACATCCTCACCAGTCAGATCGTAAGACGTGAGTGAGGGCATAAAATCAGGAGAGTCCACCTCAGAAACAAGCCCAACTGCCCCAGGCCATGGTGACCTTCCAGGAGATACCAAAGCACCACGGCCTAGGGTCCTCAGCTCAGGCACAGCAGCTGCTGGCCCGGTGTCTCTGCCTGGGTCCCGCCCAGGCTTCTTCTGGTGTTTGCTCTAACAGTGCACAAACTGATGTCAGGGAGCCGGCCTGGAAATTGGGCACCTGTCTCCCTCTGCTGCTACAGAGCCTGTCGATTACCTGAGGTCGTCGGGGCCTTCCTACATGAGCTAGAATCTCACCCAAAGGGATTGCCTTTCTCCTCCATACTGGGGTGTCCCTGCTCTTGAAGCCCTCGGAGATGCACAGGGTCACTGTGTGTAGGAGACGGGGAGAGGTAGGTGTGCTTGCTGGTGAGGGACTTGGCTCCAGGTTTGAGGCTGGGACACCTTTGTGAGGCTGGCTTCCTTCTACCTGCAGCCCCTTAGGCTGGCTTTTACCTCTCACTGCAGAACTCAGACATGCCCTCTTGGCTACATTCTGCTTTCTTATCCTCCTTTCTTTGACAGTGGTGAGAAGCACGTTAGCTCATTTCACATGCTCTACACCGAGCTGCACCCCCAGCCTAAGAACTGGTCACATATCTCCATTCTTGCAGCTATGTCACCAAGGCTTGGAGAAGTACCACAATTTGACCCTGACTCTTAAGTTAGTCCATTGCAGAGCGGGCTCAGCCCCTGTCTGGAGTTGTTTCTGACCTCACAGAAACTGCAGGCTTGGGGGCAGCTATTCCCTCCTGTTCTCTAGCCCCAGGGGATGTCCCCAGGGTGGGAGGTAGGAGGCTGAGTGGACAATAGCTACAGGCTGGTGGTGGGTGGCTCAGCACAGGCCAGCACAAGCCTGCAGTGGAGAAGTCCTGAAGCTGGAGCCATGGTCCCACCCCTCTGTGGCTCCCACGGGCCCCTAGCTTTGCTGAAATTCTCATAAGGGTCCCACCACCTAGTGGTGGCTTCCGGCTGACCGTGTGAGGCCCAGCATGCAGGGTTTGCAGCAGGGGCCTTACTGTTAATTCCCTTCTGAAATAGCGTTTCCGGGCAGCAGCTGGCTTGGCTGGGACAGCACCACCGAGTTCTATATTCGTGGAAAACTCGGCAGTTTGTCTTTATCATTGTCTCTTGTGATAAGTCTCATAGAGCTCTGAAAAACTTGTATTTGAAAACTCCCCATAGTGGCAGAGAGGGTTTGTGAGCCTAACTAGGTGTCTCTAGTGCACTCCGAGCAGACTCGGGACCCTGTAGAGCACCTGTAGCAGTCTCCAAGACCCACAGCAGAGGGGCAGTTGAGTTGGAAGTTCCCCCAACTTTCCCGTGCCTCTTCCGTTCAGGGGAATGCTGTGTGGATTTGAGTCTGAACAACTCCCAGACAGTGTGGCCTGACACCAGCTAACTCCAGGGCTTTTCATCCAGTTCTTTTCACTCTTGAAACTAGCAAAGGAAGTAGGCTCAATCCAAACACACACACACACACACACACACACACGGCTTTAGCACAGTGCAGGAGAGCTGGCCATACGAGTGGCATGTGCAGGTTCCTAGAAGGCAGTTCAAGTGCACCTTCCCAGTGGCTTGTGGACACCCTTCTTGTTGGGGACACATTTGGAGCCAAGCAAGATCCCTCTCTCACAGAATTTGTCTTCCAAGGGGGTCGCCCAAAGAACCGTACTTGTGACTCAGACCAAGGACTTGCCAGACATCTGCCCTGAAGGGTCAGTGTGGTAGGCCCTTTGAAAGTCATAACAACCAGAGCCATCCTGGTTCTCCCAAGAACCATTGCCTTTCATGTGAATTATTTACAAATTCTTCTGTTGCCCACTGGCATGGTTTAAACTCGGAATGCTATTTCTGAGCTCTTTGAGCCATGTGTTTTGAAATGCATCATAAATTAGGAGGCAGACCCCCGAGCGGAGCTGCTCACGGCAGCCGCTCAGCTGACTCAGGGCCTTTAAAAATCAGGAACCACACAGGCCCAGAGTGCTTGGCACCGGCTTCCTGCCCTGACTTAGATGAGAGAGGAGCCCTGGCTTGTGTGTACTGTTGAGCTGTGGGAGTCGTATGGTAGCTTGTGTGCAGGGAACACTGGGATGCAGGCAGAGTGTCAGAGACCAGCGTAGTGACCGACATGATGAACTGCGGCTGTCAGACTTAGCCCCACAAAGCCCGGGAGGTGGCTGGTGTCCTGAAAACCCAAAGGCTTGCTGTGAGTGAGTGACCCACTGCAGGTGCCTTTGTGGAGACCGTGGAAATGAGGGCAGCCATTCAGCCTTCCTGCTCACAGTAGCACTTGCTTTACAACCCCCGCTGAGGCACATCACAGATGGGACCCAGAGCGTGTCGGCAGCTTCAGTCACAGGAGCAGGGTCCAGCTGCGCACCGTTCCGCTTTCAAGAGACACTCATGAGCTTCTCATCAGCGCCGCCTGGATGGTGTGGGTGAGATGGAAAGGCAAGCCTTAGCCTCAGTACCTGGCTGTCAGGAAAAGCTTTTCCCAGGCAGAGAATCTGGGGATGTGACTGTATCAGCCAGGACTTTTCATTTGCAGAGCTAAGCCTTTTGCATCTGCGAGGGCAGCCAGGTTAGGTTACATTGGTTTTCCTGATTCTGCCTGCCCTACCAATCCATCCGCTGCCAACAGCCATGACCTGGGCTTCTGCTGCTGTATCTCCTCACTTCCTGCAACACTGGAAGCGTCCTCTCCCTGGCTGCTGGTTCCCTGCAGCCTTCCTTACATACATCAGGAACAGAGTCGCCAGTCGGTCCCTGTCCCCTCTCCTTATGGTTCCCTGTCTGCTTTCAGGTTTAAGGTTAGCTGAGCAACTGGGTCGAAGAGAAGATGAAGCAAAAATTCGCCATGGTCTTGGTCTCTCCCTTTGGGCAAGCGGAAACCTTGAGGAGGCTCAGCACCAGGTACGCAGAGCTCTGTCCCAGGAGGCCAAAGCACCCGCCATGTCTGTCTCAGCAGCTGTGGAGCTCTCAGGGGTGCCAGCCTGTCTAATGCACCCAGAGTCCCAGCCTGTGTAGCCAGAGAGCTGCCAAGACTCCCGCTCACCCACGGGGTAGCTCTCTCAATGATTTCTCAAATTCTTGTATTGCGCACCTTTGCCATAGTTAGTGTAAAACCACAAGTGTTCTTTAGTGGAAAGATAAGATCAGGATGCATGGCTATCGGGCTTACTGTCCTTGGCGGTCTCTAGTTAGGGCAGAGAGAATAACCTCTCCCCCTTCCTCATAGAAAGTCCCCACTGCTGAAGACGAGTGTGTTGTCACACTGGCTGTGGGTAGACAGGAAATGTCTGCTTCAAACTCAGCCCTTTGGCCATTTGAATGATTACTAAGAGGAGTGCGCCAGGAATAGGGGATCCCTCCATGAGCAGAGGGAGGCCTGTCTCCAGAGGAGCAGCCTGGACACAGGCTGGTGCTGGGTCTGTGCTGCAGCACGCTGGGCATTAGGGTGCTGAGCTTAGTGTTAAAGTGTTAAAGGTTGAGGCTGAAGGTGGCTCAGGAGGGAAGAGCAGAGGATTTGAGTTCAGTTCCCAGCACCCACAGAGGGCAGCTCACAGCCGCCTCCAACTCCCCCCCTAGGGCACCCAACAGCTTCTTCTGGCTTCGACAGTCACCTACAGACATGTGTGCAAGTGGACACTCACGCACACCAATAAAAATTTAAAATCCTCTTTTAAAAAGTATTAAAGGCAATGAAAAGAATTGATACTGCCATTTCCCATGTACAAGAATCAAAGTCTTTACCAACGCAACAATCCACGGTTTTGAAAGTACTTCTGCTCCCTGAGTTATTCCTCAAACTCCTCGGGAAGACAGAAGAAGCTTTATCAACAGAGAAGAAACGGGCTCTGTGTCCTGGCCAGAGCCTGACAGTGCTGAGTGGCAGAGTCAGAAGCATCTCCATCTGCTCTTTGGCTCCAGGCTCCTGGCTCTGCTTCCAGCCTGTATAAATGTGGGGCTTCGGGGGGCAGGGTATTCCAGGGAAATGTCAGCTGTCTGGTCCTCAAAGTACCCATGTGACTGAAACCAGCCCCATGGAGATAAGCAAAACCTGGTCTTAAGGACCGTGTTTGGGCTTTGTGACACTGGGCCACCTACAATCTCACTGCCCAGCCTGGTCCATCTCCAGTGTACCCAAGGCCTGGGGTGGGGCATGGGGGGGGCAGTTACTCTTGTCTGGTGACAGAGGTAGAGGATTTTCATTGCTTTACTCAAAATCAGCTCCTGTTTGTATCAATAATTGGTTTTAAAATGTCCTTCAGACCACAAGTCCTAATCTTTCATATTCCCTCATCCATCAAAGACTGGTCACGTAAACTCTAGTTAACTGGGGCTGAGTTAACCGATTTCTTCAGGTCCACAAGGACCTGCCTGGCAGTCATCCTTTGAACCCCTTTAAAGGTGATTTCAGGTCGCATGCCTGGAATGAGCAAGCGCTGCCTTGCATCTGTGAACTGCTGGGCGTTGGTTGTGGACGTTGGGTGACGGTCTCTGTCCCTTGCAGCTTTACAGGGCTTCGGCCTTGTTTGAAACGATCCGGCACGAGGCCCAGCTGAGCACCGACTACAAGCTCTCTCTGTTCGACCTGCAGACATCATCCTACCAGGCCTTGCAGCGGGTGCTCGTCAGCCTAGGTGAGAGCAGCCGGCGTCCGCATGTGTACCTGTGCGCACAGTGCCCATGGTTTGGCAATGAAAGATGATTGGCTGTCAGTGCAGACCGTGAGGCCACAGCCTGTGATTAAACGGTCACTTGTTCATTCAGCAAAGATCGGCAGAGCAATGGGGGCAAGTGCCAGTCCCAGTGAGCTCAGTGAGCGTGCTCTCAGCTGGTTCTACCAACCAGATGTCACGCACATAGGTGGATGAATCCAGTGTGACACAACTGGCTTAACCACAGGAGAGCAATTCAGAGGCTGAGAGAGCAGAGCAAGTGTCCCTCCCCCACAGACCCCTGCACCAGGTGTCCCTCCCCCACAGACCCCTGCACCA